TGCATTGCCAGTAGACCCCCCATATGCAAGCGTACACATTTGGGTTAACCCCCACTCCCCCCTCCATGCGTACGTACTAAATGGATGGCCCCCTTATTTTGCGAAAGGGGGGGGGGGGTGCGGGGTGGGGCTCCCCTCCCTGAACCTGTGACCCGTCACAGTTGCGTACAAGCACGTGTCCCTCCACTTTTGTCAAGCCCGCCTAAATTCGCGACGCAAGAAACTGTACAATGTTTTGCGTGCGCTTTCCTTGGGGCGAGGTGGAAACAAACGCAGGAAATAGACAACTATTGTTGAGCAGTGAATGCAGGGAAAAAAGGAAAAGCAGCGAAGGCCCCCAACATGTTCTGGAACAGGGCCTCCAGTTACCACGTCCAGGTTTCAACGCGGCACAGCGGTTAACACTTCTTTACAACTAGCTTCATCAGGCCACAGCCACAACTGTCTGGCTGTCGTCTTGATGAAGCTAGTTGTAATTACTGGCGAGACGTCGTACTCAGATTGTAAATGTTGTGGCTTGGCTCTCCGACACACCGGTGTGCTGTACTAGTATACTACACTATATACTACACTACTATACACTACAATACTATACACTACACTACTATACACTACACTATACACTACACTGTACACTACACTATACACTACAAACTACACTACACTATACACTACACTATACACTACACTATTATACACTACACTGTACACTACACTATACACTACACTACTATACACTACACTACTATACACTACACTATACACTACACTATACACTACACACGTTCTGTGCTGGTGACGAATTGGCACGTTCTGTTAACGTGACAACCCTTACTAGTTGGCTGTGTCGGGTGGTGGTGGGTTTAATGACACTTTTATATATTTACGCGATCTAACCCCCCACAAAAAAAACCTGTATTATGGGTGATATTGGGGGGGAAAGCCTACGACGTGTTAAACTGTTAAACACTTGTTTAGTGGGAACGCGAAAGGTGACTATTTCTCTCCGTCATGCGGCATTGGCGAGTGTGATGAAGAATGGTCACCTGCCCCTCGCGACCAATTGTAGAATGGGCGAGAGCTTCATCCGGCAGTGGAACTGACATGTTGTTTTCATTAATCATTCACTTCTGTCACTGCTTTATAGCGACATGACGCCGCCAGGCTGAAATGCCTTCTCGAGGTGCCGTCGAGCGAAATCCCCCGAAGTTCATTATTCTGTGAGAGCAAGTTTCGCTTCGTGGCGTCTCTCCAACAAAGTAAAACAAAGTCGCGTAAGGTCGTGCGTGAAGAACAGCGGACGTCCCGACTCTCACGGCTGCGAGCGGAAAAAGGAACGCCTCGCTCCCTCGAGCGCCGTTGCATCCACTCACTAACGAAGGTTTGCATCTTCTTGGTTTTTTCGGTAAAGTCACGTAGAAGGGAAGTAATAAAATAATAAAAATAAAACATAATAAAATAATAATAATATAATAAAATAATAACATAATATAATAATATAATATAATAATTTATTATTTTATTACTTCCCTTCTACGTGACTTTACCGAAAAAACCAAGAAGATGAATCCCTGCAGTCACGAAAGCTTTAAATCGAAGGTTTGCATGTCCATTGAAAATACCGATTTAAACTCATCAAGCATCCCTCTATCGGCTTGACAGGGGAGAGGGTTTAGTCTTTGCAAACAGCAATCTGTCTTTGTCAGAATCAGGCACGTACGGGGCTCAGTCTGCATTTCTGGGTGCTCGTGGGCACGAGAATGCGCACGCCGAGTGCATTTGCAAGAGTAAAACAAATTCTGTAGTGGTGGTGGATTTTGTTGGGCCTTAGTCCCGAACGACTGAGTTAAAGTTTGCACTTTTTGTTTTCTTTAGGCCTCAATGCCAGCCAAGTGTATTTGTGGAAAGTCAACGGGTTATCGCTGACCATCTGAAAATATGGTATGCAGTATTAGCCGTTAAGATGCTACTCTGATGCGCTGGTTAGCACACTGGACTTGCAATTCAGAGGTCACCGGTTCGATGTACGGTAACTCTCTTTGTGCGGCCGTTCAAACAACGGCTCAAGTTTCTTAAATCTCATCCGTCTCTATCCATAGTGGTTAGCTGATCGGCATGTTGCATGCGATGGAGTTAAGTGCGGGTACGGTACCCTTTTTCCAAGATGTATCGCCGGCGTGGAAGAGTAGGCCTATTACCCTGCGGAGTGGCTCTCGGTCTCACTCGAGTGAAGGACCCTTTTCCATCGGTGGCTTGAGCAATACATTGCATAGCTGCACTTTTACCTTTGCAAATATCGGAATCAGAATTTGTATCTATCGCGGAGGAATCCGACGAAGTAACCATGAAGCATGTTCTTGGTTCTTTCGGTAAAGTCACGTAGAAAGGAAATAATAAAATAATAAAAATAAAACATAATAAAATCATTCTCACGACGTTTCGGCCACAAACGTCGTGAGAATTAATTAATTATATATATTTATTATTATTTTTATTTTATTATTTCTCTTCTACGTGACTTTACCGAAAGAACCAAGAAGATGAATCCCTGCAGTCACGAAAGCTTCAAATCGAAACATGAAGCATGTGTCCCGATGTCAATGGCAATCGTGAATGTCAATGCTTCATACGCCTATAACGCGTGGTGCACGAACAATTACTCCCTGGCAATTGCTGCGACTGCAGTACGTTTATTTTATTTTCACCATAACAATCATTGTTTATTGGGACCACCACGGTTATTAAGTGTGTAATGATTATCTCCAATCGGAGCCATCCTTTACCCAATCAGCAATGTTTCAGTACATTCTCACGACGAGTTTGTCGCGAGCATTCCGCTTGATGCATATGTGTCCTTCTCAGTCCTGTAGCTGAGCCACATTCAAACGAGTGCAGGAATGGGGGCACATAGACACATAGCCACGATGGGCTGTCACCGATATGGTTGAGCGTGTGTGGTTTACATGTCCACGCACCTTTTGTCGATGCGTGGCTGGATGAGGGCCTCTTACCACGCCTTGTGGGCCGTGAGAGATATTTCAGCAATTCCGCCACAAATTCTTGTTGTAGTTACCAGCGAAACGCCGTACTCAAATTGCAAATGCTGTGGGTTTACTCTCCAACACACCAGTGCACTGAAGTAGTCACTAATTGGCACGTTTTGTGTACGTGACAAACTTTACTGATTGGCTGTGTCGGGTGGTGGTGGGTTTAACGACACATTTATATTTACCGAAATAACTTTTATTATGAACAGTATTGGTCGCGAAAGCACACGTGTTAAATTTCATAATAGCACACTGGTCACCGCCGGTTCATGAAAGTGGCGAGTTGGTTTTGCTCCACTGCCCCCTCTATTGCCCACGAAGCCTACTACACCTGTTTGATTAGCCTGGTCTTCATCAATCCAAGCACTTGTCAAGATTAAACCCTGGGGGAAAAAATGTAGTTGCTGCAAGGCAACACTAATTGTCCTTTATACAATATATGAACGAATACCTCTCCTTGCTACCCATAGGTCTATATTTTCCTTGAGCAATTTACTGAAGTTGGAGTCATACTCTTGAGATATTATCAGCCAGCAACATCTGTTCACGCGATCGCCAATGATCACCGCTGCGTTCACGCAATCGTCTAAACCTACGCTGCTCACGTTGAGCAGCGCGCTGTTCTAAAACGATTGGTGAGTTGCGGTATCATTTGCAAAACCGTGTTACTGGTTCCCAGTGACCTGTGCTTGATTTCAGGCCGTGCGCACCGGGGGGCGTGGGGCAGTGGGGGGGCGAGGAAGGGGTGCGTGACCCCTTTAGACAACTCGGCGCTATAATGAGTACCCGGCGTCGTGGTGATGCGGTCAACGTCAGCGCGGTACTAAGAGCCACGAAGGCAGCCAAGCGAGGCGTTGACTCCCAACGCCTTCCCCGCCTGTCACAGATGCTCGCCAAACTAAGAGAAGGCACCGTGCACAATTTACCGAGGCCAAAAGAGCATCTTTGTCGACGAGATTACATCTTCTGTATATATGTATTAAAAAAAAAACAACCTCAACTTGTTCTTCAATAACACTGTGGCCTTGAAAGGAAACGTATACAATAGGCAACGTGTCTTGCAATGCCACCTTCCTTACAGAACATTCCTTGCGATGAAAGTAAAGGTTCCCGGCCCCCCCCCCCCCGATACATGTATTTTTTATCCCCCTGAAATAAAGAGAATTCTTGAAAAATGTCAAGGAAGAAAAGAGTAATACATCAGTTTGTAATACTGGATACGCCCTAAAGGTAAAAGCAGAATAGGAAAAATGCCCCTCAAATTATACCCCAGTATCCGCGGGGTATAAACGGTACATGTATAAAATAATATATGACTATTAAAGGTGTATTTGGAAGGGACCCTGAGGCTTACAGGAACTTTATAAATTGAGAAATGTTATATTAACTATTCCCTGCAGGCAAAAAAAAAGAGAAATGCCATGTGGTGTATTGTGGTGCATAATAATAATAATAAACGTGTCCATCTGGAGCAGCACAGTATCACTCCTGCAATTTCGTACAACTTCTCGCTTAGTTCATGTAACAGGGCAATACAAAAAAAACATACCGTATAAGTATTTTCCAAACAATTTAAAACAACCAATGATATTTACTGTGGGATGGTGAACACTATCACGACCAAATCGCTCGAACTGCACCCAGTGATGGCAGATCGAGGAGGCTAAGTAGGGCTGATCTTGGTGAGTACTTGGATTTGGTGACCACTTAGGACTTGCCTGGTGTTTTAGCAACAGGGCTGTGAGGTGCCCAGGAGCTGGAAGTGCTGAGCATCAACCCACCGTATGCGTGGTCAGGGAGATTGTTCGACCATAACTTCACCGTGCTGATTCTAGATTTTAAGCTTTCGTGACTGCAAGGATTCATATTTTTAGGTTTTTTCGGTAAAGTCACGTAGGTAAAAAGTTAAAATTAATAAAAGTAAAAAAAAAATCACGACGTTTCGGAGGCAACACAAGCTTCCGTCTTCAGGTGGAACCGTCACAGCACGATAGCTGCATTTGCTTGATACAGCTATCGTATCAATCACTTGATACAGCTATCGTGCTGTGACGGTTCCACCTGAAGACGGAAGCTTGTGTTGCCTCCGAAACGTCGTGATTTTTATTTTAAGTTTATTTTACTTTTATTAATTTTTATTGTAACTTTTTACCTACGTGACTTTACCGAAAAAACCTAAGAATATTCACCGTGCTGCTCAGCTCGGGTTGGTGAAAGCGAACAAGCCCACGGTCGTTTAAGATATCGCTTGCTGCTGGTGTTAGATGTCAGACTCAGGCTTTATGTCAGCTGGTAAGGCCCAATGAGCAAAGCCAGCTCTTTTACACGGATGACCACAGCCCAAGACAGTTGGCAGTGGGTGGCAGCGACAGGACCCTGCAGGGAGGGAATGTGCAAGCTAAGCAGACCACAACAAATTATCTACACTGCCCCGTGGCAGTGGAATTGAACTCGGGAAGTCAGATTCAAAGTGGAGAACTACCCACTGCACCACCACTCCCTGCACAAGTCAATGTTATACCAGCTCCAATCCATCTGTGCTTGTTGCATGAGAACTTTGCTCTATTGATACAGCAGAGCACACAACATTCTGCAGGCAAAGCTGGGCTGAATGAACACGTTTAACGCATCAACTGTGAAGTGCATTCCCACACAGCCTCGCGGTGACATTTGCCGCAATAACATGTGAGGGGGGAATGCAATTACGCTTTTAATAATAGTGGGGTTGCATTCCTGGGAGATAGTCGTTCGGCACAATTAAAGTATTGCCCAGGACGAAGCGGGTCATGCACGTGGTGCAATAATTTGTCACGTTTCAAAATTATTTACACGAGCACCATTTTATTTACATTAGCAAAATGGACACTGCTTAAGTAGCATGAACTGTATGCAGTATGTAAAAAAAAATGCTCTATGAAAACATAAAGTTTCATGGTCATGCTGAACAGCTCTCCGACGCATTTTCGGGTTTCACCGCGTGCCATTCGGCACGATATCCCAACGTCAAAAGTTTTCTGGAGAAAAAATAAGTTTCCCTAGAACGTGGAGTGAAACGTCGGACATCATAGCCGAACAACAACGCGCGGTATAACCTGCGAAAGAATAAAATGTTCTTGTTTCACCACGACTGCCTTACTTGGTTTTGAGGCAATGTTTTAAGGAGGCACTTTCTTGGAATTACTTGGCCAATTCCTTGAGCATTTATGGATTTTCTCACACATTAAATTACGTCTGTACTGTTGGCATTGAGCTGTGCAGTGAAACCATCAATTACAACGCTTCTAAAACACCTGAGCAGTGGGTTATACGAGGTGATTATCCCTGAATGGAATGTACAGAACGACTCCGACGTGTCCTCAATAGTTCTCATGCTAAATCCACATAATATTTCTGCTCTTACACGTGTGGTTGGGTGCTTAACCCCATGTCTTCTGCTCTATATTGATCCCTCGTGGCTGGGATGAAGAAAATAAAGTGTAAAAAAACTATAATTTGCTTGTATTTGTTGGTATCTGTGAGCAGCCAGTGATGACCTGGCTGAAACCAACAAATCCACTGGACGAGATAACATGTTTTTTTTTTTACGTGGGCTCTCCATCCAAGGCTTAAACTTAAATCTCAGAGGTACCGGTTCATTGATCTGACACAATGATCAGCCTCCTGACCCACCCAGCCACCTGTATGGGCATTTTTTTCTTCCGTTTTTCCAATGCCCTTCCAATTGTGCCGTCAGTTTCATGTCACGAGACAAAGTATCGGTTCATAATTCTGGCAGGTTTGTGCCATAAAATTTCCCGAGGAAGTGGATACCATAAAACTTCTTCTGACATTCTTCTGAGATCTCTTCACAAATAACCTCTCATTTTGTATGAAGTGTTCCCTTCAATAGAGAGTGTTTTTGGGTGGCAGACCAACTCAGATTTGGAATTTTCTGCCGAAAGTATTGTGCCTGACCGCTGAGATTCTCTCATTTAAATATAAACACAAAAAATAGGTATTTTGTATGACATGCTGAGATTCTCCCATTTAAATATGAAAAAAACTAGGTATTTTCTATGACATGTTACATGAACTGGATCGTTTTTTTCTATCTGTACGGAACTCTGAAGACCTTTATTTGGTCTTCTGCACCTTATAAAAACGTAAAATAAATTATTGGGATTCATTTTTTGCTTGTAATGATTGGTGAATTGTCTTAAGACCTTCAACGCACTCCACTTGGGAGCCCAGATTAATCACCTATGGGTGAAACCGAGATTTTAATCCAAGACCTCATCGGGACCGGATAAGTGCTCTGACCCTCTAAAGCCACCCGACCACCTCTGATGCCCAATCACACGCACCACGAACACTTCACAACACATCGAACGTACCCATTTATAACACACACACAGTAGTCTCGGGATTATAAGACACTCCGGAATGTAAGACGGACCCCACACAGACATACGTAGACAAATGGTCCCCCGCCTTTGTCTCCGCAGTGGCGATGTTTTTACACACAGCACCAGATTCTCATTTGTGGTTGAGTCGTCGTAGGGGAGGCCCAAGACCCATTCAGAAAATCGTCACCGGTGTTGGCCGTGAGCGCGAATCGAACACGCGTCCGTCGGGTTCGTAGTGCAGCGCGACAATCACTGCACCACAGCTCCCCACACACACACACACAACACACACAGAAACACACGCAAACTCTCGTCTCACAGATCCAGCGCCTACCTCTACACGCTCCCACCACCACCTCCTCGTACCCGGGGCCGCAGACGCACCTCCCGATGGGCACGAGCCACTCGCCGTCGGCGCTGCAGAACATGCGCGGCGCCTCCTTCTCGACCGAGTTGTCGACGCACGCCCCGCGCACCTCGATGAGCGAGGACGAGTCGGCGCCCGTCACCGTGTCGGGGAAGACGGCCAGGCCGCGCACGGTGCGCGGGCAGCGCTTGTAGTAGACGCGCACGGAGACGAGCGCGATGCACGCGCCCACGTCTTGGAAGGCCAGGTGGAAGCCCTTCTTGGCGAGGGGGCCCACGTCGCGCACCTCCGTGTTCAGCTTCATGATGCGGCCGCCCAGGTCCACTTGCGTGAAGCTCTCGTCCGCCGCGATGGTGTCGATTTTGAAGAACTGGTTCTCGTCGACGTGAGCCGACGAGTCGCTGTCCGACTCGTGGTAGTGCAGGTTGAAGGTCTCCTTGCACGTCCCGGCCACGCCCGGGATGCTGCTGCAATCGCGGAGCGTGAACTTGAGCTCGATGTAGATCCGCTGGGCGCCCCCGCACGAAATCCAATTAGTCCTCAGCCAGTTGTTTTGGTTTGGCTCCATCACGTGGCAGACCTGATAGGTGGTGATGGGGGTGTAATATTCGTCGTAGCCGCTGATCTCTTCCCACTGTCAAAACAAGAAGAAAAAAAAACGCAATCGAGGACGAAAAATCATTCAAGCACACGGTGCGTGGATTCTGTGACACTTTCCGACGTGCGTTTTGTCATCGCAAAGAATGTCAACGAGAGACGATAACGCTGCCATCCGGGTCACGAAACTAGTTGACGTCACAGGGCGTGTGCCGTGTGATGTCACGGGATGACGTCACAAGCAACGACGTTGCAGGCAAGCGAGCGCTTGCGAGCGCTCCCCCATTATCGCTGATTTGTTATCGCCATGCTCGGGGTAACCCTTTAAATCTATTATTTGTTGGTTTTATGTAATATTAGCCTCTTACAACAACACACCTTCAAACTAAAATCTTGACGAGAGTTATTGAACCCTATGTTACAGACAGATGGACAGCGCTAATGTATTAAAGCTTTCGACGAAATAAATCGGCACACGCAGCAACTGCACTGTCAAAATGTCAATGTTTGTAAAAATGTCAACATTTTTTTCTTGATAAGTGTTTGTTGACAGCAAACTTCACGTTGGCAATTTGTCAACTTACAGACAAAAAAAACCTTCTAGATAGCAATAATCGACAAAACGCTGAATAGAAGAGGGAAACCGGTGAAGGCGCAGCCATGCAATTACTTCCTCACACTACTGCTGGTGGATGTATGCATGAATACAGTATTGCACTTCTTTCGCACTGTACGTAGCCATACCGTGCTAATCGGAGTTGCGGGGTGAAGGACAACAAAATAAACACGAAAAAAGTTCTCAAGAGACGAGTTTTCAATCTGGATTTAAAGGTGCATAGCTCCAGTGGCTTTCTAATTTCGGAAGGCAGAGCGTTCCAGACGGCCGCAGAAACGCATCTGAAAGCGCGAGATGCAGTGACCGTCTTTGTTGGATGGCAAAGCAAAAGCCGCTGTGAGGATGACCGGAGTTTGCGTGATGGTTTATGGATGTGCTTCCTCTTGAGGTATCCCTGGAGAACCCTTCAAGAGGGTGTTTTGGCCTCCTTTTAAACAACGGCCAGATAGCTTGTAAGAGGTGTGAGTACCCACACTTTAACTCACCACAGGCTGCATAACCCTCGACTCATTGCGGTCTACCCATTCATACTGCTGTGGTGGTCAGTGGAAGGGCGATCTAAGAAATTTGGCTGAATATAATATTGCATTTCGAATTGAATATGTTACTTTTTTAATTCGAAGGTAGTTCATTGAGATTCGTTATCTCTTTTTGAGAGGGAGACCCCAAGTGTCAGTATCATTATATGAGCAGTGCAATTACCCCGCGAACAATTACGTTGTGGTGTGTAATTTTCAAACTCGAAATACTTGAAATATAGAGTAGCCCGGCAATACGCACTCAGACACCCACACATGTGAATTGTGTCTAAAAATTGCCTTGCTGAAGGTTGAACGATTCCCAGCAATTTTACAAATTGTTGCGATTCAGGGTCACAGTTCGATATAAGAGTTTTTTCTTTCTTCATCACAACGTGGTGAGCGGTAGCGACCAAACGGGGATGAGGGCACGCTACAGCGTATCTCCACTCTGCGTCTCTATGCAAAGGTCACACTATTGTAGTCCGTCAGCCTTTTGGCTTTCCAGAGCAAAGTTGTTCGGACGAATTTTGTTTCAGAAGAACAACTTCTGGACCGCTTTCCACGTGGAGATACTGGACAGAGTTCTGACTCCTCTATGCATTTTACCTGTAATGATCCACAGTAAATGCAAAGTGAGTTTTTTTAATGCAATTGAGAACTACATGAAAATTATTGCAATAACCAATTTTTTTGCAAATGCTCAGACAGCATATGAGATGCGCTATCACTGAACGTTTAATGCTGTTCAATATGAAGATAACTGATTGTATGTAATGCGTCCGGGAATTGGTGCAAAGACTCACTGCTCAGGTTGCGATTTGATTCAAGAACCAACTTATGTTTTCACATTGTATGTGGACATAGCGGCGAGTTACGGCTGCCCAAGTCATTCGAACCAATTACAAACAACATGCGATCGAAGAATTGTGGTCGTCGCAACTCCTGATTTGACGCGTGCATCGTAAGATTAGGAAGCGATACTAATCCATGCACGCTTACACCTCTCGTCGCTGACATCTATTTGAATGAATAGAGGAGACGACTTTTTTTTGTTTAATATCACAAAAACTATCATGCTAGTATTCATACCCATGAGAGCAGTCCGACAGCGATGTCCAACAGTGTTAGCACAATTCTTGGACCAAACTTGAGCCGTATGATGGATTCTGCTACATTTTGCATGCAGGTGAAACACATTGACAATGTGCGGAAACTTGTTTGCACATTTATCCCCGTATTTATAAATCCCAGACCACCTGGACGCGGTTTTCAACGCCGCAATTAACTTTGGGACTCAACTTGTTTGCAAGCCAGCCGTTTCGAAATACAAAATATTTAGGAAACGATTTGAGTGCGATAATTAGCTCTGAGCCCACACACCCCTCGCGCCGGTGGCGTTAAACACCCCCACGTTTTTTTTTTTAAACAAATGCCCCCCCCTGCTCCTCCACCCGCCACGTGACAACGCCCTGTGTCCAAAACAGTGCTGCTTTATTTGGCAGCCCCCCCCCACCCTTTTTTTCTATTTGGCAGCCCCCCGTTTTTTCGTTGTTGTTGTTGTTGCTCAACGGCGGCACTTAGCGAGCTTCGCATTTTGTATTTTGAGAGCGCACGTGTTGGGCGACCTGGGCGCAGTGAGTCTGAGCGGCAGATGGGCAAATTGAGCGAGCTCTCTGCCCGGCGGAACTTTGCCATTAGCGCTAATCCGACAGCTTAGCGGGAGCAACTGGCGGGGTCAAGCCTTGCTTGTGTCGGCCGGGCCAGGGTCTGGTCAAGCTAGCCTGGACTGATGTCTGGCCGTTTGAAACCAAGCAGTGGGCAATTATCTGGAAACCGGGGTGGCGGGCGTGTCTCTTGCGGTCGGGCGTAAAAATGCCAGCTTGTGTGCACGCGCATGTGTGTGTGTTTGTGTGGGGTTTGGTAGTGTGTGTGCTCGCTAAAAAGCACTTGCCCCAATGGTCTGTTAAGGCTATATGGGGGATCTTTGTCCTTGTAGTTAGCGCGCAGGCTCTACGAACCCGACGACCCGAGTTCTATTCCCGCTCACGGCCAAGACAGGTGACTGTTACCTGACCCGGCCCTGGGCCTTCCCTAGAACGGCTTAATCTCAAATGAGTACCTGGTTTGGTGTATAAACATCCCCACTAAGGGGACAAAGGCGGCTGGGCATGGTGCTGGCCAACCACCACTTCGTTCGCAGCACTTGCTCCAAAAGTCTGTTAAGGCTATACAGGGAGTCTTTGTCTTTGCAAAAGCATAAATCAGAATCCATGTCGGTGTGTGGTGAGCGCTGGCGGAGTGATTAGCGGACTGCACAATGCAACCCACGACCTGAAGTGAATTCCCGACCGCAGGTAGCATCAGTGGCAAATGTATGAACCGGTCACCAGGTAGACCCAGCCTTATACGTGCACCTGGTGGGATGTGTAAACATCAGTGCTAGGGGAGACAAAGGTGGCCGGGCCGTGGTCTGCCTGGCCACACCGCTCTCTCATGTGCCCTGCCGGCCTTGATAGGCGTCTCGCTAACAGCACTTGTCCCAACTTTCTAAGTAGGGATCTTTGTCCTCGTATGGGCATGACCTTGTATAATATTAGTTCATGTGCAGTGATGCAGTTCCCCTGTGTTGATATTAGCAGCATGTCCAAATTAATTTTCACGTCAACCATTATTTCTATTTTTTGTTGAAACCCACAGCGGCACGATGGTTAGCGCCCTGGGCTGCATCTCTCGTCAACCCAATTTATATTCTTGGCCATGCCGGGGCCAAGCGTAGGCCAACTCAGCCTTAAATGAGTACCTGGTGTGGTGGTGTAGAGGCATCGATTAGTGCCAGGGAGACAAGGCAGAGAAGGCATGGCACTGACCCCGCCAATCCAACCGTGTAGTTCCGCTGTCAATAATATGCGCTCCCTAACAACACAATGCCCTCGTGGTCGGCCCAGTCTAATGGGGGGAGGGATCGTGTTCGTCTGTGTGTAGCCCGTGCCAGGACGCGTGCAGTGAGCTCTTGCCCTCCGTGCGGATATGGCAAAGCTCCGAGTCCCAGCTAAAACTTCTTCTTTGGCAACAAACCGGAACATCGTGCCCACGCACAATCTGGAATACCGAAGTAGCAGAACAGATTCGGCAGCTGCGATTGCGAATCCCCCTTTAACGTGTCAACACTGCGCAATGCGCCAATTAATTTGCCTAAATACCAAAGGAGCAATTTCCATCTGCTCAGTTTTGTGCAATTCTCCGTGTGAGAGCGTGGTTTCAGAATGAAGGGGGTGGGGGTGGGGGGTGGGGGAAACAACGCTGTTCTGTTGACATATTCACACTGCTTGTTTCCCAGTGCACAAGTCTCCACGCTCGTACTCAGGCTCTGAATTGTTCTGGGGGAAAACAAAGAAAGAAAGAAATAACACGAACCTGCAGTGACTATATAGCGATTCATAACTGAAAGTTATTTAATGGAAATGCTTTGTGGGCGGGGAGGGGGGGTTATTGATGACTTTATATAACGTCCGTCATCCACTATGGCTAAGTGGTGGACTGACACACGTGAAAGATCGCCTCTTTTGCAAGGGCCACCTGGGCTACACGAAGCAACTTTTAAAAACGTTAAACGCGGACAAGACAAAAGTCGCGGGCTACCCGCTCCGGATAACAGGACGGATTTGACACTCGACTCCACTCACACACGACAAATTATTGCGGACAATCGGAAGCGCTTTCGGCGAATCAGAATTGTACAAAAAACTGCGGTGAATTCCGGACATTAGTAAGAATATCTTGGGCAGACGGTAAAACGTTTCCGTGGAGACACTACAGCCCCTGTTGCAGATAACAAGGGTCACGGATGAGAAAGGAGTTCTTCTGCACGACCCGGCATGCGGCATGGTGACGAGTCGATTC